AATTTTGACGAAGCCCAATTTGTCAATTTTTGTTGCTATTGCTCCTTTTTCTTTTGGTCTAAGAATCTGTTGCCAAATTGAAGATTATGAAGATTTGTCTCCTAAAAGCTTTATAGTTTTAGGTATTATATTTAGGTCTTTATTCATTTTGAATTAGTTTTTGCACATGGTGTGATGTAAGGTCCAGCTTTATCCTTTGGTATGTACATAACCAGTTGTTCTAGCACTATTTCTTGAAGAAGCTGTTCCTTCCCCCATTGAATGATCTTGGTAAGCTGGTTGAAAATCAATTGACCATCATTGTGTAAGTATATTTCTTTCTTTTTTTATTTTTTTTAGGTTTTTATTGCTTTGCTAGTAAAGGAGAAACACAGGGCATCTTTAATTCTGTCCATCAGTAGGAACAGGTATTTTCTTTCTGTTTTTGTTTTTTTTTTTTTTTTTTTTTTTTAGCAGGGCTGGGGATTCATCCCAGGGCCTTTTACATGGGAGATAAACACTCTACCAACTGAGCTATATCCCCAGCCCGTGTATGTATATTTCTGGCCTCTTAATTTGATTCCTTTCATCTATGTGTGACTATCCTTATACCAGTACCACATGATTTTGATTACTATATCTTTGTAGTAATCTTTGAAATTGGGAAGTGTGTGAGTCTTCATGTCTTGGTCTTCTTTTTCAAAACAGTTTTGGCTATTTGAGATCCCTCGAAATTCCAAACAAACTTCATAATCAGTGTTATCCACTTTGGCAAAATGGCAACTGCAAGACATAGGGATTTTGATAGAGTTTATATTCAATCTGCAAGTTATTTGAAGGAGTTTTGCTATCTTAACAAAATAAGTCTCCTAGCCCTTGGATAAGCAATGTCTATTAAGGTCTCAGTTCACTAACTTTTTTAACCTTGTACATGCTAGGCTCAACACTTTTTTTTTCAGTTTTAATAAACAGGGCCTGCATCTCCTTGGTTAAATTTATTCCTAAAGCCAATGCGGTGGTACACTCCTGTAATCCCAGCAATTTGGGAGATCAAGGAACCGAGGAAAGAGGATCTCAGATTCAAGGCCAGCCTAGCAACTTCATGATGTCCTAAGCGAGACTTAGCAAGAATATGTCTCAAAATAAAAAACAAAAGGGCTGGGGATATAGCTCAGTGGCTAAGCACCCCTAGGTCAAATCCCTAGTATAATCAATCAATCAATCAATTTGTTCCTGAGTGTTTTGTTCTGTATAGTACCGTTACCCACAATTTATTTTATCTTATTTATTTATTTATTTACTTACTTACCTATTTTTGGTGCTGGGGCTGAAGCCCGGGGCCTTGTGCAGGATGGACAAAAGCTCTATCACTGAACTATACCAATGTATACACAACTTTTTAAACCAACTTTTAAAAAAAAAAAAAACTTATCATGTACATATCTTCATGTTAGTAATATAGAGATCAAAATTATTTTACATCACTTACTGAATATACTACAATTTGTTTCAACAATCTCTTATTATTAACTATATTGGTCATTTCAAATTTTTAACTATCAGAAAGAAGGATGCAATGAGCTTCTTTGTAATGTACATCTTTGTGCACTTATCCAATTATTTCCTTTGGATAAATTCCCAGAAGCTAACTTATTAGGTCAAAGGAGAGGCATACTTTTAAAGCTTTGATGAATGTTGCCAAATTTTCCTCCAAAAATATCAGACCAACACCCACTCTGAACAGCAGGGATGTTCAAATTGCTTTTCCCCAATGTCACTTCCAGGGGAGAAAACAGGGGCCCTGGCATGCTCCGTCACTGGGCAGAAATTTTGAATAGGATGGCAACAGTCCCCAGTCAACAGAGATGACTTCCTCTTAGACCAGGAAGGGCCCTTCACAAACCTTTATGGGAATTTTTATTTCAATGAAATTTGAGATTTTGGTCTGTTTCTCCCTGTAGACTACAAGCTACATGTGGCCAGAGACTGCCTGGCTTGTTCACCATGTGGGCCTAGAGTCTTTAAAGTGCCTGGCACAGAGAAAGTCCTCAGAAAATGTAAATTATCACTAGGATGGGGGTCAAGGCAGCTTACCCTAAGTTCAAATTCCACAAGGTTAGCAATAGCATCTTTCCCTTTTGTGTCTCCAGTGCTAGCACAGATTTTGGCATACAGCTGCTCAGGATTTGTTGTTGACTGAATAAATGAAAGCAGCTGGCTTTAGAGAGTCAGTGGTAGTAAGAGATCTGAAAACTCCTGAATCCTTGTTGTTTCTGCCTGCTGCACCCCCTTAATTATTTACTTTTGGGGGAGGGTACTGAGCTAGAGTTGGCAGGTGGTGGGGTATGGCAGGAAGTGTGAGGGGCCAATGGTGAATTTCATTCATTATGTATTTAGTGAGCATCTACTGTATGTCAGGCTTTGGGCTAAAGGCTTGCTTAGATTAGGAAGAGCATTTGGGACAGGAGTCCAGAGCGTCTTGAATGCTATCTACTGTTTTTCCAATAAAACACAATTGAGATCAAAATGTGGTGGTGGACACCTTACCACATCCCTGAACTACATCCCCAGCCCTTTATATTTTTATTTTGAGATGGGGTCTCACTAAGGTGCTTAGGATATTTATAAGTTGCTGAGGCTGGCCTCAAACTTGTAATCCTCCTGCCTCAGCCTCCTGATTAGCTGAGATTACAGGCATGTGCCATCACATTGCGCTCTCTTACTTTTATTCTAATGTTTGCTGCACCTTTCAATATTCATGTTCTTTTGTTTTCTGTGCTTCAATAAACAACTATATTTCTGCTTGAAGTATGGAACATCACCTGTCAGTAGTTGTAAGTCCCCTCTAACACTCTCAAATGATTTTCCAGTGGTGAGGACCAGGAAGGGAATTTCCCCGTGTGTGCTCAGCTCTGGCTCATCTGTGTCCCCTTCCCTTGGATGCTGTCCTGTGGGCTGGAGTCAGCATGAAAGCTATTTTTGACTAAGTGGCTACCTAATCTTACATAACCCTCAGTGATTCAGGCCAAGGTCATTCGACTTAGTGCATGAAAGACACTTCAGACGCCAGTGATCACCCTTCCCCAGAGTCCCTCTAGAGACCCAGAGCTGGGAGGGCAGCACTCAAGATGGTGGCTCTAGGCCTGCACTGCAAAGCCCAGCTAGGACGGTGGTAGCACAGTGCGCCTGTGCAACAGCCCCTGGGAGAGTCACCCAAAGGGCTTCTTCTCCATTTTTTCTGGAACTTCAGTAGAATTATGAACTCAGGAATTAGGGTGTCAGAACACTTGCTCCACTTCTTCTTTCCTGAGACACATGACCTGAGTAAGAAAGACATGGATTCCTCCTATGGAGAAGCAATTAAAACCCACATTTTTATCTCAATTTAATTTTATTGGAAAAACAGTAGAATAGCATTCAAGACTTTCTGACTCCTGTCCCAAATGCTCTTCCTAATCTAAGCAGGCCCTTAGCCCAAAGCCTGACATATAGTAGATGCTCACTAAATACACAATGAATGAAATTCACCATTGGCCCCTCACACTTCCTGTCACACCCCGCCACCTGCCAACTCCAGAGCCTGCTGGTGGACCCTATGCATGCTCTAAGTGCATGCCCAGTTCAAACCCCAATATCTCAAGATTATCTTTCCAGATCCCCCTAAATAGAACTGGTTGTCCCTTGGTCTATATGTTCCTAACACATTGCTCCCACTCCTGCCCTGAGCTGGTTAACATACTGCCTAACCAGTGTGTACTCATCTCTCTTCCACCAGACCATGAGCTTCTGGAGGGCAGGATATGGCCCTTAGTGGACACTGTGTCTCCAGCACAAATCACCTCCTGCCACTTCCTGGGCCCCTGTGAATATCCACTTATTGGCTTAGATGCATGCCTTGGATGACTGGCAAGGAGAATCAGGGCTTCAGCTCACAGCATTCCGTGCATTTCGAATCCAACAGGAGCCGACAGAGGAAGAGACACATGGCCGGCGGCTCGAGTGCACGTTCCCAAGCCACAGTCAATACAGCATCTCTATTTCAAAAATGTAATCTCGCTAATAATTGGTATTCATTGTCAAGAACACAGCCCAGCCGCAGGAAAGCCACTTTAAACATTTTAGAATTGTCTTAGAATTTTGCCACTATGTATCCCTGACTCCTATCTTTACTGAAACGGTGCCTGTCAACAGGTAGGAGGCAAAGGAGTTTATCAGCCCTGCTCTGTTTCCTGGGTACCCATCTTCCCCTTCTCTGTTTAATTCAGGGGCCCCCAGATGAAATCAAAGATACCTGCTCCCTGGTCTTCATTGATTGGCCCAGGGGCAGGTCTTGACCCAAGCTGGACAAATCACAGCCCCCAGCGGCACCTCTCATAGCTGACTTGAGGTACTTGACATGAGGTGGCCAAGTAGTCCTTGCTTGCGATTTCTGGATTTGGGGTTAGAGAAAGCTTCAGGTAGACTGTTTCCTGTGTCCCCAACCTTGTTAACACTATCTGGACTGAGCGAGGAAGTGAGGCAAACACAGTGGATGGAGAGGGGGTCCATCTTGGATTCTAGTTGTTCTTTAGCTCTGGCCATACTGTGGTCCTTCCCCATGCTAATCAGCAGCTGCTAACACACACACAATGTGTCACAGATACAAGTTCATGAACATGATAACATGCACATCACTTATTATTTTTTTTTTGGTACCAGAGATTAAATTCAGGGGCACTCAACCACTGAGCCACATCCCAGCCCTGTTTAGTATTTTATTTAGAGACAGGGTCTCACTGAGTTGCTTAGCACCTCCCTGTTGATGAGGCTGGCTTTGAACTCTCCATCCTCCTGCCTCAGCCTCCCGAGCTGCTGGGACTACAGGCATGCGCCCCTGCACCTGGCAGCACATCACCTTTAAAGGTAACAGGGTGTTGCCTGGATTTCCACTTTTGGCTAATCACCTGTGGATGGATATCTTGATTGTTTTTTTTTTTCCCACTGTGATGAGCAATGCTGCGATAAACATTCTCATAAATTCATTTTTGCTCCCATGAATTATTTTATTAGAAAGGATTTGGGGGGCGCGGTTTGCTATGGCAAAGGGTGTTCAAGGACTGCCTCAATGCCCTGTGCCTAGTGCCTCTTTCAGGGTCATTGGACACCTTCACGGATTATACTATTACAGACTGAGTTGACCCAATGTTTGACCCTTGTTTGTCCTTTGGGAAGAGGGTCCAGGCTTTGGGTGCAATCTGCCCATAAACTGTGCCCAAAAATTCTGTTGAAAAAGTAGGTGTGAGGTCATCCATGGTCATGAGAATGTCCAGGGGATTTGGAGAGCACAAGGACAAGTCCCTGAGTGCACAGCGGACCATGGGTCTTGCTGGGCCTGGGGGTGTGGACAAAGGAATGCCCAGCTTCAGGGTCACTGTTTGGATCCCTAGGGGTTATCCCTGAAGGCAAGGGAAGAACATGGCTCTGAGGACACACGTGGCATGCAATAGCAGGGCACAGGGCACAGTCCTCAGCCTGGGAGATCAGGGGACAAATCGGTCAAACCCTCCCCTTCCTGGCCACCCCCCACATTGTGACTTCTGTGCTAGTGCTGGATGGCAGTAGGGAACAAGGAGGCACTGGAGCTCCCAGATCATCTGCAAAGACTGATGCTGTAAGGAGAGCGAAGGTTCACGCCGGGACAGAGCTGGTGACTTGGGTGAACAGGCAGCAGCGCATCCTGCTCAGGGAGTGTGAAACCTTCCTGGGAAAACACTGGCTTTGACCTGAGTCTTGAAGAATGTGCACTGGTAAGTCCAATGAAGAGTGAACAGTGGCCCAGACACAAGACGAAGCCTACCCCAGGCTGGAACCCAGAGTCTTCAGCAGAAAGCCCTGCCTGATTTAAATCAGAAGAACCCATTAGAAGACCGAGGAGCAGCAGGCACAGCAGTACCCCTTCTGTAATCCCAGTGACTCTGGAGGGTGAGGCTGGAGGATCACAAGTTTGAGTGAGATCCTGTCTCAAAATTAAAAATAAAAACTGGGTGTAGTGGCCCACACCCTTGATCCTACTGACTCCCGAGACTGAGGCGGAAGGATTATAAATTCAAGTTCTGTCTCAGCCATTTAGTGAGGCCTAAGCAACTTAGCCAGACCCTGTCTCAAAAAATAAAGAGCTGGGTATGTGGCTCAGTGGCAGAGCATCCCTGGGGTTCCCAGTAACACCTGTCCCTTACACACAGAAAGTGGCAAATGCTCCCACCTGGCCTGGGGGCTCATGCTAAAGATTCTCATCTGGGAGGAATGGGGAGCCTTGGAGGATTGTAGAAAGAGAGAGGTATGATCTCTGTTCTCCAGGGGCAGGTATGAATAGATATTCAATCAAAAGGTAATGGAAGCTAGGCATGGGGGTGCACACCTGTATTGTCAGCGACTCAGGAGGCCAAGGCAGAAAGATCACAAGTTTGAGGTCAGCCTCAGTAATTTAGCAAGGCCCTAAGCAACTCAATGAAATCCTATCTCAAGAATAAAAAACAAAAAGCTCAGAATGTGTCTCCGTGGTAAAGCATCCCTGGGTTCAATCCCCAGTACAAAAAAAAATTAAAATAATAAAAAGTAATGGAGTCCCTGTCTTTTTCAAATGTGGCCCATCCCGGTTCCCGAGGCTGTCTGAACGAGTCTCTGCATGCTACAATTGACCCCTTGGCTCAGCCTACTGTAGAGTGACCGGCCTCAACCATCTTTCCCAGGGTGGCTGGTGCTCCTACCCAGGGCCTGCTCGCTTTTAATAGATGGATAAGGCCTGCCCAAGTCACAGGGCTCACATTTCTAGAGAAGGACACAAAATTCCACAACTTGTCCACACCTTGCCTCCCATACAGACAAGTATCTTTGCCATGAAATAAAATGGAACAAGGTATTGGAAGTGAAAGTGCTTTGTAAAAAGAAAAGGGGCTACAGAACTTTATTTCTCTCTTAAGCAACCAAAGTTTTTTTTTGTTTTGTTTTTCACCAAATAAAATTTTACTGCACACCCACATGTGCAGCTGCTCCAATGAGGTTGCCCTTTGGAAATAACTGTGAATGTCACATGTTCAAAACTAAGGTTCTGGATTCTGCCATCTTTTCCAACTTCTCCTGCCTTTCCCTCTGCCTCTTGATTCTGACTCCTCCAGCCACCCAGGTGCTCAGTGCAGAAGCAGCATGGGTACCCCCGTTGTCACCAGCCCAGGGGGCTCTTCAACATGTGTCCCTGGTCCACCCTCACAGTTCCATGGCTGTCACCACCCCTCTGGCTGACCACCACTCACATAGATCCTGCAATAGCCTTACTTTGTCACCTGTCCCATTTGCAGTTCATCGCTCACATATTGGCCAGAGAATCAGGTACAAATCATAAGCCTTCAGCTTGACAAGTTTGCCTCCACCGGACTCACCTGTGGATCCAATGCCCGAATCAGGGCGCAGAGCATCAGCAGCCTTCCGGAAGCCCACCCTGTGCCCCTTGTCCCCCAGGACGACTCCTATCTTGACTTCCAGCACTATGGATTCATTTTGTCTGTTTTTGAACTTTGTATACATGGATTCATCCAATGTGCACATTTTATGTCAGCCTTAGTCCACTCGTCACTGTTTGTGAGAGTCATCGTGATGCTGTCCTTATCATTTGTTCATTTTCGTTGCATTATAGTGTTCCAATCTATGACAGTCTCCTGATTTATTCAATCAAGTACTGAGAGGCGTTTGAGTGGCCTATGGACTGAGGCTATGTTCTCTCGTTCATCGGTCGATCTTTCCTCCCTCCTTATTGGTAATTGAACCCAGGGGTGTTTTACCACTGAGTTATACCCCCAGTGGGTCTCCTTAAGTTGCTGAGACTAGTTTTGAACTTGTGATCTCCTGCCTCAGCCTCCCTGGTGGCTGAGATTATGGGTATGAGCCACTGCACAATGCTTGGGGCTGTTTCAAACAGAGGGTATTGTTTTTAGTCAAAACACTAAAAACTATGACCAAAGACCCAACAAGAACAGTTTAGAGGAGGGAAAGTTTCAGAGGGTTCCGTCTATAGAAGGCTTCCCCCACGGCTCTGAGCCTGAAGTGAGGCAAAATATCATGGCTAAGGATGTGGTGAAAGAAAGCAGCTCGGATACAGGATAGGTCAGGTGGGAAGCAGAGGAAGACAAAGAGCTCCATTCACAAAACATAACCCCAGAGGAACGCCCCAGAGACCAACTCCTTCCATCCTATCTACCTACAGTTACCACCCAGTTAATCCATATCAGTGGATTAATCCACCCATTGTGCTATAACTCGTAATCTAATCATTTTATCTCTGAAAATTCTTGCATTGTCTCACACATGAGCTTTGGGGAGAATACCACATATACAAACAGCAATGGGTTATCATCAATATTTTGTCTTTGGTGCACGTAAGTATGTGTTTCTGTTAGGCATCTAACAGAGGAGTCGACTTGCCTCATTATGAAGTATGTGTTCACACAGTGATGTTTTTAAAGCACAAACTGCGGCATTCCCTTGCTTGAACACTCCTTGGTTTCCTGTTGCATTTAGGTTAAGTCCACAATTTTGTCTCAGCCTACAAAGACCTGGTTTGCCTGGCACCCATCTTCCCATCTCAGATCCTGCCCTCTCAGAATCTGCTTTCCCAGCACATCGACCTTTTTCCCATTCTGGAGGATTGCCAAGCTCTCTCAAAAAGCCCACCCGCTCGATATGCCACCATTTCCACCTGACCTGCTCTGCTCATCCTTTATATCTAAGCTCAGTTAGAATTTTCTCAGGCCTCTCCTGATCCTCCAATCTGAACTAGCACTGTTTGTTACTGTCTCTAGTTGCTTAGTTACTTAGTGCACAATTGCAATTACCACAACTTCAAATTGATTGTTGATCACTGCCTCCTTGCTCAGTAGACTGTAAGCATCAAGAAACTGGGACTTGGGCAGGGGATGTGGCTCAAGCGGCATGCGTGCGGCCTGGGTTCGATCCTTAGCACCACATACAAAGAAAGATGTTGTGTCTGCCAAAAACTAAAAAAATAAATAAATATTAAAATTCTCTGTCTCTCTCTCTCTCTCTCTCTCTCTCTCTCTCTCTCTCTCTCTCAAAACAAAAAGAAAAGAAAAGAAACTGGGACTCACTCACATTTACCTGGCATTGAGCAGGAACATATTAGGTGTTCAATAAGCATCAATGGGCAAAGAGAGGGGACAAGATAAGAAGTCACACAAAGACCAGAGTAATGCCGGGTGCAGTAGTGCACCCCTGTAATTCCAGCGACTTTGGAGTCTAATGCAGTAGGATAATGAGTTCAAAGCCAGCCTCAGCAACTTAGCGAGGCCCTAAGCAACTCAGTGAAATCCTGTCTCTAAATAAAACACAAAAAAGGGCTGGGGACGTGGCTCAGTGGATTCAATCCCTGGTACTTTAAAAAAAAAAAAAAGATTAGGGTATAAATCTTAGCTCCATTCACATTACCCTTGTGCCTTTAGCCCCAGCCTCAGTTTCCTTCTGTAAAACAGAAATAATCCTGCTGGCCCCTTGGGCACCCAGACAATGTAAGGCTGAGTAAAAATGCATGCATGTACATACCCTACCATAGGGTTGAGCACATGGCAAGTGCTAATTAAGTGGTGGCTTCCATGTATCAACTCCCTGAAGCCTCCTCACAATCCTGGGGGCAGGTACTACTCAAAATCCTCATCTCACAGATGAAAAACCATAGAAACTAAGACCTATCAGGTGCAGTGGCACATGCCAGTAATCCAGCTGCTTGGGAGACAGAAGCAGGACGATCTCAAGTTCAGGGTGAGTCTGGGCAACTTAGTGAGGTCCTGTCTAAAAATAAAAAACAAAGAGGGTTGGGAATACAACTCAATGGTATAGCACCCCCGGGCTCAATCCCCAATATTAAAAAAAAAGAAAAGGAAGAAAGAAACTGAGGCCTGAACAGATATTAATTCCTGGCCCAATAATTCCAGCTCCAGAGCCTGGGCTGTCCCCCATTAAGGCTCTGGTGGTAACATGGGAAAGACCAGTGAAGAACAGAGGAAGGGGTGTTGGTGAGTCCCTAACCACCAACAGCCCAGTCACCCCTTCCCCTTGACATTCATTCATCCCCATGAAACCCTAAGGTTAGAACCCAGTATGAAAACCACCGGGTTACACAAACATCCGCAGTTATTAATAGCTAGAAAGAAAGGGGAAAAAATAGAAGGATCTGTTTACGTAAAATGTTAAACTTCTGTACAACAAAAGATACCACAAACAAGGTCAAAAGATAAATAAAAGTGTGGGAGAAAATATTTAAACTTCAGATGGCAAAGGCTTACTATCCCTGGTGTTAACACGCCCTTACTCATTAATTGGAAAAAAAAAAATCTATGAATGACCCAGTGGAAAAAGGGGAAAAGACAGTGAATAGTTTACAGAACAGGAAATGAAAATGGGTAACCAACATGTGTATAAGTAAGGAAATGGAAATTCAATAATGAGCTCCCGTATTTCTCTTAATACTGGCAAAAAAAGAAAAATACTGTGACAGGAGAAAACCAACTTAATCATCATCCCATAGTTGGACTGTGAAAATGTACAGACCCTTAGGAAAAATTTCCCAAAATATTGTTATAGAAAGTTTGACAATTTTTGGAAATAATAATGCACAATGATAGATAGTGTAGGTGCAAGAATATTCTTTGCAATGTCTTTGTAATAGCAAGAACAAAGAAACATCTGCTTCCATCAATAGAGTTGTATATGAAAACAATAAGGTGATTCCATGTGAAAACATCTGCAGTGAAAAAAGAATGTTAAAGAATAATGTCTACGGTTAGATATCATTTTTTAAAAAAATATATTTTTAGTTGTCAATGGATCTTTCTTTCTTTCTTTCTTTCTTTCTTTCTTTCTTTCTTTCTTTCTTTCTTTCTTTCTTTCTATTCGGTGCTGAGGATTGAACCCAGGGCCTCACACATGCCAGGCAACTACTCTACCCCTGAGCCACAACCTTTTGTTATCATTTTTATAGAAAACGAACACAACAAATATGGTCAAATCACACGAATACTTAAGCAAAGAAAAAAAAGTAAGAAAATCAAATTTCTAATTACAAACTGTGGCACACATCTATAATCCCAGTGACTGCAGAGGGTAAGGCAGGAGGATTGCAAGTTCCAGTCCAGCCTGAGCAACTTGGTAAGACCCTGTTCCCAAATTAAACAATAAAGTGAGCTGGGAATGTAGTTCAGTGCTTGAAGAATTCCCAATTCTGAAAAAAAATTTTTTTTTCTTCTAGTGTGTGTCAAAGGAGTTGGATTGGGTTGGAGGGTTTTAGTTTTGCTTCAGAGTCACTTTTAAGTTTGAATTGTTGCAATGAGCATATATTACCCTACAAATATTAATTGATAAACACTGCTCCTTAGTAATGACTTAGTGATGACTCAATGAATGTCACTTGTCCTTCTAGACTTACAAGACCTTCTTTCGCATTCACATTCACTCTGCTTCAGTTCCTACAAATCAGCTGCTTGTTGGAAAGAAGAAGCTAATTGTCTTGTGAAAAATTTCCTCTGATTAACCTCAGAGCTTGATCTGCTGCCTGGCCTCCTAGGGGAAGAGATCTTAAATCATTATTATTTTAAAAAGAAATATATCTGCTACATCGATGTTCATAGCAGCACAATTCACAATTGCTAGACTGTGGAACCAACCCAGATGCCCTTCAATAGATGAATGGATAAAAAAAATGTGGCATTTATACACCATGGAGTATTACGCAGCACTAAAAAATGACAAAATCATAGAATTTGCAGGGAAATGGATGGCACTAGAGCAGATTATGCTTAGTGAAGCTAGCCAATCCCTAAAAAACAAATACCAAATGTCTTCTTTGATATAAGGAGAGCAACTAAGAACAGAGCAGGGAGGAAGAGCAGGAAGAAAAGATTAACATTAAACAGATACATGAGGTGGGATGGAAAGGGAGAGAAAAGGGAAATTGCATGGTAATGGAGGGAGACCCTCATTGTTATACAAAATTACATATAAGAGGTTGTGAGGGGAATGGGAAAATAAACAAGGAGAGATATGAATTACAGTGGATGGGGTAGAGAGAGAAGATGGGAGGGGAGGGAGGGGGGATGGTAGAGGATAGGAAAGGTAGCAGAATACAACAGTTACTAATAGGGCATTATGTAAAAATGTGGATGTGTAACCGATGTGATTCTGCAATCTGTATTTGGGGTAAAATTGGGAGTTCATAACCAACTTGAATCTAATGTATGAAATATGATATGTGAAGAGCTTTATAATGTTTTGAACAACCAATAAAAAAAAATTAAAAAAAAAAAAAAAAAAAAAAGAAATATATGCTTTGAATATGTAATACATGCATATGGTAGAAAACTCAAAATGAACAAAGCGGTACATAGTGAACAGTAGGTCTCATCTCTTCCTAACATCCTAGCCAATATTCTAGCCCAGCTCTATCCCTGGAAAGCAATGAGAACACCAGCTTCTTTTGTATCCTTCTGTAGATATTCCATGCAAATATTAGCATAAATATGTGTATATTCTATTTTTTAAACACAAATGCTGTACATAATGCCTATACACACAAACGAGTATGTTCCTCTGGTTAATGCCTTTCCTTTCTCTCCAGCCAGGACCTGATTAGTTTGAAGGCTGCAGCTCCTTCCTGCCAAATCTCCCTAAGGGAGGCACCTCGGCTATGCATTCATCTACGCACTAACATTCACAAAGAAGTATTTATCGATCACCCACTCTGTGCCACACACTGGGCTAGAAACTCAGATAAAGAAGGTCCTTATGCTGGGTGCAGCGGTGTAAGCCTGTAACCCCAGTGACTCAGAAGGCTGAGGCAGGAGGATCCAAAGTTCAAGTCCAGCCTCAGCAACTTAGGGAGACTCTGTCTCAAATAAAAAATAAAAAGGGTTAGGGATGGGGCTCAATGGTAAAGTGCCTTGGGTTCAATCCTTAGAACAAAATAAATAATAAATAAATAAAAGATAAGGTCCTTGTTCTCACCCAGCTGAACTTGCAGTGGGAAAAAAAAGAAATGTTATGTAGAAGAAAACAAATAATAAAAGAAGACTAACAAATTTCAGGTAATGGAATGCACCATGGAGAGAGTCATTCTCAATTAAGAAGAGAGAACAGGGATGAGAGGGGCAGGGAGAAGACAGGGGGAAAGAGGGATGTTTTTTAGATGGGATGGCCGGGAAGGGAGATGGCATTTAAGCTAAGGACTGAACACTAGAAGCAATCAATTTCCCCGACTCCCTTGCCCTGATAACTTACCATGGACAGCAACTTGACCTGATCCTGGAGGTGAAGAGGGTGGGCTCTGAAGTCCTGGAGCATGTGTTTGAATCTCAGCTCTGCACTGAAGGCTGCGTTAGTCTTGGGAAATTATTTAAGCTTTCTGTTTCTCAGTTTCCTCACCAGTAATATGCAGTGATATAAAAATAGTCCCCACTTCCTAGGATTGTAGTGAAAATTAAGTGGTTATGTAACAAGGGCTGGCAGAAAGAAATGATCAAAAAAATGATGACATTAGATAAAGTCTCAGATATGACACCAAAATGATGACCTAGAAGAGAAAAAACTGATCAAAATGCTTTACACCAAAATTAGAAATGTTTGCTCTATGACAGACATCCTACTGATGTTTAGAGTCTGGAAAAAATATTTACAAATTACATATAGAAGACTTGTATTCAGGCCAGGCATGGTAGTGAGAGCCTATAGTCCCAGCTATTCAGGAGGCTGAGGCAGGAGGATCGCTTGAGACCAGAAGTTCTACAGACAACATAGTAAGACCCCCACCCCAATCATCTCAAAAAAAAAAAAAAAAGACTTATGTGCTTATATGCAGAATATAAAAGGAACTCAACAATAAGAAAACAGGCAACCTTCCGACCAGGGTTGTAGCTTAGCTGTAGAGTGCTTGCCTAGCACATGCGAGGCACAGGGTTTGATCCTCAGCACCACATAAAAATAAATAAATAAAATAAAATAAAGGTATTGTGTTCACTTACAACTAAAAAAACAGAGAGAGAGAGAGAGAGAGAGAGAGAGAGAGAAAAGAAGAACAACACAGGCAACCTAATTAAGAAAGCCCAAAGCTTGATCAGACAGTTCACCAGAGAAGATACAATGACGGTAAATAAGCACCTGGAGAGACATCCGGCAGCAGAAACTATTAGGTCAGCGCAAAATAAAACCACGATGACAGACCACTACATACCAATCACAGCGGCAAAGAAGGCAAAGGACAAAGAGGAGGAGGAGGAGGAGGAGGAGGAGGAGGAGGAGGAGGAGGAGGAGGAGGAGGAGGAGGAGGAGGGGAAGAAGGAGAGGAGGAGGAGAGGGGATGAAGAGGAGGAAGAGGAGGAGAGGAGGAAGAGGAGGAGAGGAGGAAGAGGAGGAGGAGGACAGGACAAGGACGAGGACAAGGAGGCAAAAACACAAACTGATACCACCAAATGCTGGACAGGACACCGATTGACCGCACCCCTCACACCTTGCTGGAATTTAATTTGGTGGTTTCTTATAAAGTTAAACCTACACCTAACATATAATTCAGCAATCCCATTTTGAAGTAATTTGCCAAGAGAAATGAAAACTTAAGTTCACATAAAAACCTGTTCATAAATGTTTATAGCTGCTCTATTCATAAACACCCCAAACTAGAAGCAACTCCAAAGTTCTTTAATGGGTGAACAGATGAACCATGGTACATTCATAGCACTAGAGAGCTACTCATCAGAAAAAAAGGTACAAACTACTGGTAGTGCAGCAACTGAACAAAAGAAAGAAGCATCTGGAAAGATGGTCTGCTACTTGACTTTATTACATACCTTCTTGAAAACAAATCTCGAGGGACCGGTTGGAGGGCCCACCAGGGGCTGCCAGGGCTCGGGCTGAGAAAGGCTGTGACTAAGGGTACAAATAGAAGGAGTGTTCTGGGCTGACAGAACAGCTATGTACCCTGATGTGGTGCTGGTCACACAACCCTACACCCAAGGTAAAATTCACAGAATCAGACATGTGTGAAAAAGTCAATGTTTCTGTATGTTATTTTAAAAAAATAAGGCAAATTAAAAGTGATCGAAGATATGGTCATTCTAACTCAGTTATTCCCTCCCAAGTCCTCCTCCGTCTTTTTTTCTCATGCTCTGCAACCAGAAACTTCTTTCACCTCTGGACAGCAGTTGGCCAAGTTCAGAGTAGAGGGAAGGGCACTGGAGGCAGAGGGAATGGTATATGCAAAACCCTGAGAGGCCACAGGGGCCCAAGCTTGCTATGCTATGTGCACCTGCAGAGGCTGGGGACACAGCAGTGGACACAGCACAATGACACCTCTCCAGGGAAACATTTTGGGCATTTTTGCTACTGATCTGGTAGGCTCGACTCCCTGCTCCCATTAGGGTCCTCCACCTGAACCACATCGTAGTGGGTAGGGGTGCAGTGTACCTGGTCTGGAGCCAGGCTGATGTAAACCATCAAGCCTGGGCTCAGTCACTCACCCTGAGTGTGCACACGGGCAATGCTACCATTCTGCGTGTCATTTTTCCCACCTGGAAAATGAGTAGAAAACTACAATATGGCCTTCTAGGGTTGTCATAAGGATTAAATGAGGCTCCATAAAGTCGTGCGACGTCCTGTTCACAGTGCTTGGTAATTCCAACAGAACTCAGTGCCTGGAAGCTGGTTTTGTTGCTATTAATATTAATCAGAGGCACCAGAGACCCTGACCCTAGAGGAGCTATCTCTATAGAGCCAAATATGGAATTAACACAGAATCAGAGAGGGGGCTCCCAGCCCTGGATGCCTGTAGACAAAAGTCTAGGAAAGGACTCAGTGGCAGTGACATTCCCTGAATCCGCAAGTAAGATTGGGGCGTGGACTTGTGTTTGTCAGGGACACAGGCAGGAGAGTGGAGGACAGCTAAGACCCAGGAAGGTTCCTTCGATGACAGATGTGTGCTGCCAGTTGACATGGGCCCCCACGTCCCACCCTGCCTCCCATCCCGAAAGCTGGACTGTCTTCCAAAGGATTCCAGCGATGCTGTGGGTAACAAGAGCCCTCTGAGGTCCTCCCTGAGCCGAGGAGTCACGGGTTCTGCCTTCCCAGAAAAGCACCTTTGCTCCAGTGGGAGAATGCCTTTGGACTGATAAAGACTCGCCGTGTCCAGTTATGGTAGGAATATTGCAAGGGGGTGAAGCTATTTTTTGCCACATGTCTATCTCTCCAGCAGGCACAGTGACATTACGTGGGATCCAAATAGCTCCAGCCGTAGAAGGTCATGGAGCTGAAGGCTACAAAGAGCCAGATTGGGGGTGGGGAGACTATTTGCATCATCAGTCAGGGGTCCTAAGACCTTGAACTGTCACCCCTTCTTCATGCTCCAGCCCCATCCCACTCTCCACAAGACTCCTGTTGAACCAATTTCCCCCTGGGCCCCAAGTCTGGTGGCAAGTGTTTATTTTTAGCCTATGATTCCCTGAGAATGAGGGTAGGCCCTTATGGAGCAGAGGGAGGGAGGAGGGAGGAGGAAGGGAAACTTGAGGGCTTGGAGGGCCAGGGAGGACACAGCTCAGTCCAAGCCCATTTTCAGCCCTGTGGCAGCCTGGGGCAGGGACAGGGCCAAGTCCTTTCCCTTCTCAGCCCACCCCTGGTTGGGCTTCTGTCCCTGTGTTCCCTTTTTCTTCTTCCCTGAGGGCCCTGGAGACCATGGGCTTTCCATTCCTCTTTCTAGCCTCCCTTGGCCTCTTGGTCCTTTGTGTTCTCCTTTTCAACCACAGTGGATACAGAGGAGGACCCCTCAACTCCTTACTCTCTGTCCCTACAGAAACATTCCCAGACCCATTTCCGTGCGGCTACCTGGCACCATTCTGGACACTTAGGAAATACGGGCAGGCCGAAGGATGGATTTCACTGCTTCTCCTCGTAAGCCAAAGGCCTGCAGGATGGACGAGCCAACAAGGGGAAGTTATGCAGGTTTAGAAACTCTCTCAAAATCTTTAGTCATTGTCCCTAGTTGCTAGTTCCTTTCTCTTTTCTGAGAAGTTCTCTGGAGGCTTCAGGGCCTCATCTTTGTCTCTGGGATCCAGAGAGATGCACGGCTTCCTCTTTAGTTCTTCCTGCACCTTCCCCTGACCTTCTCTCCAGCATACCAAGCTCTGCCCCAGAGCCTGCCTGCGTGAGAATCTCCTGAGCTGGCTCAAATCCCGGCTCCCCCACACACCCATGGTGTGGCCCAGGCAAGACACCCTTCTTCCTGCAAGCAAGTGAAAATCTCTCTGGGGGATGGTTGTGTCTAAAATGTGTGGGTGAAATGGCTGGCACATAGTAGGTGCTTAATAATGGCCTGTCGTTGTTGTTGTTAAGCATTCAATAAATGGCCCAGAAAACTAAGCCTTCTTTTTAAACATTTCTTTTTACTCTATACCTGATAATTTTTCCTATTTGTAGACTGCTTTAATATTTTATAAAGCACTTTCACGTCCATTAGCTCAGCTGAACCCCGAACGACCCCTGGAGGAGGGCCGAGTTATTATTGCAGGATTGTTATTCCCATTACACAGATAAAGACAGTCTTGCTCCAGAAAAACGCAGACCTGTCTGGCTTACCATCGTGTGTCCATGTGCTTAATGCAGGGCCGGGCCCAGAGTAGGTGCTTGAAACAGGACAAAGCAAAAAAAAACTTATGAAGGAATGGCCTGGGCGATGTCATCCTACATATCCTTTCCTCATCGGCAAAATGGGGATCCATGCTGTAGGATATACAAAGGAACTTAAAACCCTAGAATTCAGTTTCATTTTGAATAGGTGGAAAGGAGTGAGTCAGCCTTGTATTTGAGGGGAATAGCTAGGCAGGGCCTCTGACAGGGAGAGATGCGGCTGATTCCTTGCAGATATTCAATCTAATCTTCTGTCCTTACACCTGGGACTTTGGTTTCTCTAGTTAGAAGCTCAATGTAAGAGTGAGGAGCTGAGTCCAGACTGGGGAAGCTGCTCAGTGGTGCAGTACTCACCGAGCATGCTCAAGGCCCTGAGTTCAATCCCCAGCAACTGAGGGGGGCGGGGAGGGGGGAGGAGGGGCAGGCAGACAGGAGAGCAAGTGGCTGTGGAGGCTGAGGCAAGAGGATCTTGAGTTCAAAACCAGCTTCAGCAACTTAGTGAGGCTCTAGCAAGACCCTGTCTTTATATAAATAAAATATAAAAAAGTGCTAAGGATGTGACTCAGTGGTTAAGTGACTCTGGGTTCAATCCCTGGTACCAAAAGAGAGAGGGAGGGAGGGAGGGAGGGAGGGAGGGAGAGAGAGAGAGAGAGAGAGAGAGAGAGAGAGAGAGAGAGAGAGAAAAGGAGAGAAGAGGTCACCAGAGCAGAAATTAAGATCCCTACTAATATTGACACCCTGGGGCAAAGATTCTGCTGCATTTAGGAGAGATAGAGTGAGCTGGATGGAAAG